TGTATGGGACGATCAGAATGCCAAATTAAAAATTATGCCATATGTTGTGTTAAAGCAGTACAAAGTTTTCTGTTACGGTTACTATGTTCAGTGAATTTTTGAAAAGTGAAAAATTATTAGTTGACTATAAACAACATCATTATTTTTTGAAAGTTTCAGTATGCTAAATGGAAAATACAACTGCTCTCATCAATGCAGCATCGATTTGAACAAAGCTGCATTATTTAATAACAATGATAATAATAAAAATGGTCTTTATTGCGTGAGATAGAGTATAACAACCAAGAGGCGACGTTCAAAAATGCAGTGTAGAACACTACAGTTCTACGACTTAACCTTAACTTAACCTTAACTGGAAGACGAATGAACCAAATCAAATTCTGTTTTACCAACTCAATCAAGTACTGTAACCAAATTGTATAATATTCAATTTGATTCACTCAAACGACTCATGTTCTTTTCAACCGAACTCTATATTAGTGAATCGACACAAACAATATTATGACCGTGTGATAGAACATTTAAAAAAATATTCATTTATGTAGGGCCCTTCCTTATTAGATAAAAGTGAAGAAGAAATGTCAAAAAAGTTTTGAAATTATGGTAACTTTGAACGAACGGTTGTTTTCTATAACTGGGTACCTAGACACTCAGAAATTGCAGGCCGCCAAAAGCTAGATACGGATCACCAGTTCCATGTATTGGTTCTGTACCAGCTATGGAGATGCCAAAATCTATGGTGCGAGACCAGATCAGGAAATGAGTCAATGAGAAACATAAAGTATATTGAGAAAATATACGGAAACATCTTCGTGAACGGGTCCGTTATGAAAAACACTAAAGAACTGCTTTAAGATTGTGGGCCTGTGCTAAGAATAAAAATTGTTCATTCAGATCTGAGCTCCAGGCAGGGCCGTAGCGAAAAGAAAAACAAGGGGGGGAGGGAATCCAAATTTTCCCAACCCCACCAGTAAAATTTCGAACCAACTTTCGAAGAAATGAAAGCTGAGGGATTAGTTACTACTATGATATGTAAATTTTCTTACTTTGCTATACAAAGATTGGCTGAATGCTTATGCCCGTTAGGGTATGCACAAACAAAACTAAATTTTGCTAATTATGAAAATAATAATGGGAATTATTCTACTTTGGACCAAGGTCCTTAGTATTCCACCATATTCACCATGTATAGGGATATTCAATACGAATGAAAGGAAACAACACTTTAATAATATTGTGCTCTTTGTTTTCTACTATTATTTTTCTATCTTCACGGCCCGAAATTTTCCAACTTTTCCAAGTCGTAAAAACAGCGAAACGTTGGGAATTTTGTAAAATTGTCACTTCAAAATTTGTGGACTCTTCAGGACTGTTTTCCTACTAGGTAGAAATTAAACTTTTTTGAAGATTTCAAACAACTCTAAATTTCAAAGTATGGGATCTCCAAGTTATGCATGTTGGGAAATCCCAACCTTCTCCTTTTTTATTGCCTTTCCTTATTTCCTCCTTTTTTTTCTCTCATTTTTATTTTTTTAAATTTTTCATTTATTTTTTAATTTTATTTTTTATGGCCCAAAATTTACTTTTCCCTACTTTTTTTCACGCCGAAAAAGCAGGGGGAACGTGTTACATGTTACAATCTCCACTTTAAAAAACCTAACGTCGATACCTGCACGACTTGTGATAGTCTGACCTTTGAAGAAAAGTTGGCTCAAGCGGAGAACAAAACGATGATACAAGAAACTGCATTTACATCAATCTGATGCTGACTAGGCTTATGATCAAAAGCGAAACGACAAAGAAATTTCGCAGAATGATGCATCAATTTACTTTCATGAAAGGACTCTATGGATCTTTGATTCAACCATTTTTGGTGGAGCAACCGAAATTGGATCATGTTTGTATCACTATTTCACCAACATTCTTGAGCTTACGGTAACATCTGTAACAATGTACTCCGATTCATGCTCTGGCCAAAACAAAAATAGCCATTGTGCTGTTATGTGCTGGGTAGCTTTTCATAATTCCAGTAGCCTACTACTGGAATTACAACCACAAATTTCTCATTTCAGGCCATACTCATATGAAGTGCGATATCTCTCATGCTATCATAGAAAAAATAACAAAAAAATTCAGCAGACGATTGAACACTCTCATGATTGGGTGCAATTAATGCGTGACACCGGGAAAAAAATAAATTTCATGTAATCGAGTTGGAGAGAAGTAACTTTTAAAATTTCTCGGCATTACTAAAATTTGCATTAGTTAAAAGAAAAAAATAACGATAATGGTGTGATGTATTGGGTTAGGGTTAGATGGCTTACCTAATTTTGGAATTCTCTATAAATTAACACTCGACAATGAAGAATTTAAAACAGTTTCTTTCAAGAAAAAAGGGAAGGTTGTAGAACTTTTGCCACCCATTAGGTATCAGGGATCACCTATGATACCAATTGAAAAAAGAGAATCTCTTGGATTTACTTTCTTATATAGATCAAACATACAGGAAATTTTATTGAGAACCTTAATTCGAGCAATGTATCTGATGTGTACCGCGATGCCCAAGATGAAGAAGTCGAGAGGGGAATTTTATGATAATATTTAGGGAAGCAACAATTTTCTTTGAAGGTGATTGACAATGTTTTATGATGAATTTCACTAGTTCGGACTTCCTATATAGTAATGAAAAATTATTTTAAGTATGAAATATCATTATTGTTCACCAGCTATCGTGTTTCAATAAAAAAATTTATGAAAAAAGTAAAATTTATTGTTTACATATAATATCTTCAAGCTCTAACAGGGTAAATATAGCATAAAATTTTCAAGATTTTGAGGTACTATCAAGTGTTTAACACATTTGACACTGATGGAACTAGTGTCAAACGCACTAAGTACAGATAATTAAAAACAAAATTCCTTAAAATAGAGGTTATAATTAACAATACAAAAAACGATACCATTTCCATAATTGAGAAAAAAGCACTGGCAAAATTTTAAAGTTTTAAAAATGGAAAAATGATGAAACTTTCAATTGCGTTTTTCCGAAAATGCGATTTTAGCCCTTAACTCCCTTTTCGCAGGTGACACAGAGTTAATATAAACACGTCCGATCCTGTAGACTGTTCAGTGAAAGTCTCAGAATAAAGTATCACTTGAAACGAATATTGTTGGAATGGTGAAAGATGGAAGGAATGCAATGAGCTTTTGAGGTTAGGGCATTTTTCGAATGTTCGAAAATAGAAATAAATTGGCAAGTCAGATGGCCTCAGCTACCATATAAAAACGTAGAATAGTATTCTCTGATCTTTCCATATCGAATCACTCCTAAGTTCACTCATATCAATACACCCATTCTATTAGTAATCCCATACGCCGCAGTCTTGCGTAATTATCCCATTCAACGGAATCACTGCTTTGTTTTTGAGTGCTGCATACTCCAAGTGATACTTTGAGTTGGCAGTCCAAACAATATAAAAGATTACTCGTCGTTTGGCATCGATGCTTTGTTAACGCCACTTGACAGAGGATCTTTAAGAAATATCTAGAGAGTCGTCATTTACCAGTCAAAAAGAAAAGGTGAGCAAGAATCAATGGACAAACAAATATTAGTTTAGGTACAACACAGCCGACAGCTATGAGATACAATGGTTTGAACAGGATAGTTATTGTTTTTCAGTGGAAAGTATGAAAGGATTCTTTTCAGACAATTCATCATAAGTGATTTCGAATAATATACGAATTATTCAGTATGTAATCATGTAATTGTTATTGGTGACATTAACGAATTAATTTAGAAATGAGTGTGCTTGCTTTCCAATCAGTCATCAGTTTTTCAAGTGAATACTTGAAACCACTTCAATAACCGTTTTCAATAAACACGGAAATATTGCATTTGGTACAATACTTACATGCAACAGATAGATACAAATAAATGGTTTTCACGAAGACATGATAATTTCGGAATAGTATATTTATATTGAACTGACTCAAAATTGCAGTGAAGCTGATAAATGATATTGAATATATATCATAACATTGAAAAATAAGAATGAAGAGAAGAATTCGAATTACGTTTTATGATGCTATATGGTTTATTATTTGTTTTCAGATCATGACAAACCAAATTACCTTGATATACATTCCCGACATATTTTGGAATTTGATTTCCAGAATTCGTTTCAATTCAATTTTATGCAGTTTTTTTTCTTCTCCTTCTTGAACTCCTTCTTCAATTAGGGTTCCTTCATATTGACGAATTTACTTTCAAACCGCTTTCTGATATGCTTATAGTGGGTCATAGTATCCTCGCTGATGTTGTGATCGCCGACTCTAATATTCAGTAATATCCTTCCTGTTTACATTTTCTCCAGATTCATTGATGAAAACAGTTTTCATTTGGAGATTTTATCTTCAAGTCATTGTTGGAAACTAAGTTTTCATATAGCTATAAGAGGATTTGCAACAGCTTCTTCAATCTTTTAGTGTCAAGTCTGCTTTCAGCCAGAAAAGCTATTTCACAAAATTTCATGAATATACTTTATTAGAATTTTTCTAACCTATATCATCTTACTTCCTTCACTTTTTCTTTTCAATAACTGGAAAGCGCGTCTCAATTACAGACGCATCTGTTAGCAAACTGAACAGTAGTCAGTGAATCTCCAACTTTTCACATGAAAATATAAGACTATGGTCTGTGTTATCTAACCTGACTGACAGACCATAACTGAAGGTGTTTGTGTTTCTTTTATTTCTCGACATAGAATCTTGATGAATATTCCAATGAAATTACCAGCAGCAACTCTTGTCAGATAACTTATTTTTCTCCTAAGATAATGATAATGTATGTTCACATGTGGTGTTCTACCAAAGTCAAACCAAGGAAGGTCTTTGGTCTACAATTTATAATGAGAATAGAATGCTTTCGAAATGTGTTCCATCATTTTAAAGTTCTTGAGTATTCTGGTACTTCCGATCATGATTCAATTGTATTGTTTCAGGAGTATGCACAAATGCAACAGCACCTTCTGTCAGCAGCATCAACCGAATCCTTCGAAATAGGGCAGCTGAAAGGGCGGCAGCGGAATTTGCCCGGGCAGCTGGCTATGGTCTATATCACCACCACCCCTATGCTGCTGCTGGATTCCCTTGGCATTCACCCCTATGGCCCAATGGACCTTTGCACGGTAAGAGAATATCAACTACCCTACAGTACATTTGCTGAGGATACCTCTCCAAACCAAAAAACCAGAACACACAGAGCCACATCTTCCTAGGTACCTGTCAATGTTGGATATATACTAAAAAGTCTCATTTTACAAAACATTTCGGAGCTAGCGGGTGTCGATAGTAGGAGCATAGTATACATTGAAAAAAATATATTTTAAGAGCTAGTAGTTCTTGGGAAATAAACATTTTGGCTTCCTTCTTCTCCATATTTCTTGGTTTCTTTGGAAGTTTTCCACATTTGTTATAAAGATGGAGAAGCAGAAAGCCAAAACCTTTTTTTCTGAAAAAATAGGTTTTGTTTGTTAAGTACAGAAGTACATATACATTTTGGTAGTTTGTTAGATTGTTCCATATTCCAAAGCACATTTGATTGGAAATGAAATTATTTGAAAAATGGTGAATCTCTCAGGTCATAATTGTTTTTTCACCAAACCCAACGAAGTAAGTGAATCTGAGTTGAAATATGTGATTATACTTGATGAAAAACGACAATAATCCAAAGTCTTTGAATTTACCGAAAAAACCAAATTCGAAAAGAGAATCTAAACAGCATCTTTATTTGGACAGCACCACCTTGAAGTAAAACGGAAAACAAAAAAGAGCACTCATTGGTATAACCAATCCAAGAGGAGATGATTTAAGTACCGTAAAAAACAGAAACAATCAGGATGAGAAAAGAACTCTACATAAGATGGTAATAGAATTTTCATGAAAATATTATCATTTCCAACAGTTTAGATTTTCTGAAATGAATATGAATGAATTATGATATTTTTGAAAGGCTGCCTGAGAGGAATTTTGAAATATGATGACATGAATTCGATCAATAATGGCGAAAGAATTATTGAAGCTAGAACGCATATAGTACACGCATACGCGGTATGCAAGGTTTTGTGAAATTCGCAGAACTATTAGTAAATATTCCATAATGTGCCCCAATTACGAAAAGATAAACTTCAGTGCATATAAATTTCATTCTTTTCTTTCATCTGAAGAGAAATAATATAGTGAAATGGGTCACTTCAACATATTTTTCAATTGGCGAAAATTTTGGAAAGTATTGGAAATTATAAAAATTTGAACAAGCAGAACCCCCACCAAAACTGCAAATTTCTGTCGATTATATTCCATATTAGCTAAGCATCACTAGATTATATTTCAGATTGAGTAGTTTTGACTTATTAGATATCAATTGAAATTGAAGTTTTCCGGTTTCTGTGAAAAGGCTCAATAAATGAATCATGGTTTACAAACATTATATTGTGTCATAATGTATAATAAATGGAAGAGTTTATTGGAAGCATTACATCATTCCAGAGAAGGAATTTCTTAACAATTCTTATTTTAGCACATGTAGAGATTTTAAGAAAATTGCGTTATTGCTAACTTTCCTAGTGAAAAGTGAAACGGTTTTTATTCATTAGTTTGTGAACACCCCAATCTTTTATATCAGGTGAAATGTTAAACTTATAATACCGTTATGTCATGAAGACTATATTTTCTGCATTTACGTATTCCGTTCACATGAAATTTTTGTATCTGTTCTGTATCTGTATCTATAGAGAAGGGAGGGTGAGTGTGAGCTCTCAGCACTTAAGCCACATGTGACCCATTGCACATCCTCCCAAAGAGTTTTCCTCCTAGGTCATCGTCCATCCTGTCCTTTCCAGGAAGATGGACAGGTTACTTGGATACATTTCCTTTATATCGTCAGGTGTAGCCCAATATTCACCAAAGAAACAACTTCTTATTAACGATAACTCCGGTTACTCGCATAAGACATGCCTGACAGGTGTGTATCTACTAGTCCCACAATATGGAGGTGTTTCCTCAGTTGCCAGTGGCCAGTCAGAAATCCTACTGTTGAGCGTATATTTTCCCTGGTCATCGCCAGATATTTCTTCTGCGTCAGCTTCCCAGGGTCGCCCAGAGTGATCCTGACAAGATTGCATCCTTTGATTCCATCCCATCTCTTTAGGGATTGAGCATGGGTGTAACATTTGGCTAGTTCCGCAATTGTTGAAGTCGTTAGTTCGTAGATGCCACTGGGTGCTAAAATTCTTAGTCCAGCCGCTTCCTTGGCTAAAGAGTCAACACTGCGATTACCTTTACTCCTGTCGTGCTCTTCAACTCACCTCAGGAAAATGTTATTATCTATCGAGGCTTTGGCTAAATCCTGGTGACGCTCTAGTACTAACCCTAATATCTATGTTATTATATAACGTCGTTACACAAGTCGATTGATTCTTTCATCATAGAATTGCGTACTCGGGATTCGATAAAGTCGAAGAAGGGCTTAGCTGTACCTAATGGTTTGGCCCCCGTGCAGGAAGTTATAGTAAATTACACCAGCCGCTAACTACCATACAGTGACTATGGTCATTTTTGGTGGGTTTTTGCCTTCAAGAAGTGCTTGGGTGGCTAATCGGTGTTCAACCACTTTCCTGAATGTCACCTATTGTCGTAAAGTGTAGGAGACCCACTTTTTTCTCACACGTGACAATCCTATCCAAAAAACAATCGTATTGGTTGCGCCAAAGCAAAGAAGAGCAGACCTCGAAACGTGACAATTTCTGTCGATAGTTCAAATCGTCGGGCATCCGCTTTTTGAGTATTTTGAGCTTTTCAAAACGTTTTTAATCATAGAAGTTGATGCTCAGTTCTTCCGCTATCCCACACACAGTTTGTGACGGGTCAGTCTTCACCAAGGTCCTCAAATCCTCGTCCTGAATTACCTTATGTCAACCACTTCGAGGCTCATCTTCGAAGCTAAAATCTCCGGAACAGAATTTCTCAAACCAACATCGAATTGTATGTTCATTAACGCAATCATTGCCAAATGCCACTTTGATTTGTAAGGCTCTTTAGGCTGCTCTTTGGTTCAATTTGAATTCATAGAGAATAACTGGCTAAAAATCGTTCAACGACATCATACAGTAATAAAATTTTATAACCATCAGAACGTCAAACTAGAGTAACATAAAAAAAGAAAGCACCTGACCAATTTTTACTTGTGTGTTCATATCCAACAAGTGATTTCGCTGAGTTCCATTGAAATACAAGGGGTCCACATCATACCAAAAACAAATAGACCAGAATAATCTTAGAGGGACAAGAATATTCAAAATTCATTCTCTTCTTTCCATTGATTGGGCAAGTACGGGAAATTGTCGCCAGTCTGATCTCTGATATTTTATGTTTTGCAGACGTATCCTCGACTAATATACTCTACAATTCATTGGTTCTGAAATTTTGTAAAAAAAAAGTTTCATTCATTCATTTCGTCTCAGGTCTTCAACCTCCCGGAGCTGGCAACCCAACAGTTATGGCCGCCTCCCCAGTATCATCCGGTTCTCCCCACCCCGACCACGGGCTCATGAGCTCACCCCCCGGTCTGGACAAGGACGATTCCAGTCTAGACAGCTCAGAACAGCCAAAGTTCAGAAGAAATAGGACAACATTCAGTCCTGATCAGCTTGAAGAATTGGAAAAGGAGTTCGAGAAAAGTCACTATCCCTGCGTTTCCACTAGAGAGAGGCTTGCTTCCAAAACGTCACTTTCGGAAGCGAGGGTTCAGGTGAGTTGAAAGAAAAGGATCGAGATCGTGTGTTGTTATATCAGACTGGATTTTGTAGTTTCTTGTTTTTAAGTTTGGAGTCATTTTATCTGAGAGGATGAATAGGGTACGGAAAGAATAGAAAAAAAATATCTCCTTTGAACTTTTTCAAAATTATATTAGATAAGATATAATTTATTTATATTCGGTTAATGTAGCACAGGACTATTGAAATAATTGAAGGGAATGAATCATCTCCTCATATTTGGAGATGTACCACTAGAGCCATTTCGGAACCCATACGTTTTTGGGCTTTCTAAAATTTTCAATTCAAAATTTCAAAATTTCAAGGAAGAGCAGGTTTGTAACAATATTTTACTCCTCCATATATCACTATCATTTATCATTCTCCATAAATATATATCTCACATTATTTTACATAGTGTGAACATGAACACTGAACGTGATATTCTGGAGTATTGTGAAATAATGCTGTAATATTGTTTTCGAACACTATCCAAAGACCTGGACGGTTCTAGGTCCTTTTAGTGGCCGAAACTTTCAGTCTTTTAATCGTCCAAAGTACGCCCTTCAAGTGAAAACAGAGACCTTCTTCAAGGATGGAGGGTAGAAAGCTTCCACACTGTATAACTCCTTTGATCACTTCATACTGATATGAGACGTTCCAGAATTTTTATGATCATTCCAGAATGTTTCGAAATGTTCTAGAATGCTTTCCCATACACTAGAATGTTCTAGTGAAAACGAAAACTTTTTTCATTGACAAGCTGTTGTAATAATATGATAATTGCAACGAATATTTCTGTTCGATTGCAAACGAACCGCATCAACGAAAGATCCCTTACAATATATCACAGATATCCATATACTTCATTTCTTCCATATTCATGATACTGACATATCTGAACTGAAAGAGATCAGTCATAGCATCAAAAATAATAATGTATATGGTAATGACGATATTTCATTCAGATAATTTGAAAACCTTCTTGACTCAGCATTCAATGTTTTAGTCCAACTGATTAAAAATTCATTCAGACTAAGAATATTCTTGACCTTCTTCGAAACTGCAGTTGTAATTCCTCCCCATAAGGGCGGCGAAACTGGGGATCGGCCCATCTACCTCATACCAACATAAGCTAAAATAATTGGAAAATTGGCTGAGAAACGATTTGTAGTCTTTCTTTTTGATAATGAAGCAGTTTGGTTTTTAGGAACGAATGATCGAATTTGTACAGTTTAGTGGAATAAGTGGAATAAGTATCAGAGGTGTTCGAAACAGTGCCCTATAATTTGTCCAATGCGTCAATCACAATGCAAAAACTTCAATGTTATGGATTCAGACGAAATAGTCTGAAATGAGTTGAGTCGTACCTCTCTGAGAAAAATGAATTCGTTAGGGTAACAAATCTAGTTCTAAAAGAAAGCCCTCCTGAAACAGCTACTTTCATGTGAACATTGAATTACACGAAAGAAAAAAAATTCTTTCGAAACAAATACTTTTACATGAACACTGAATTATGCAGAAGATACTTTTCTATACTCAGTTTGTATTCCAAACATTCGTTATGGAATGAAATCCAGATATCATTCATAAATATGAAATTCGAATAAGGAACACCTATCTGCATTCACATATATTATATACATGACGATACTAATTTACAACTCTCTGCCGGAGATCTATTGGATAGATGTGAACAGAGTAAATTCGTTGAAATTATGAGCACAAATGCACATCGAACAGTAGTTACTGACGATGGCACCTGTGTAGTAGTATTTTCTTTCCTTGTTTTGTCTTGTTTCTTCTTTGCATGATCTACACATCCATGTATAGAGTTACTCATTTTCAAATTGATTACTTTCTTCCTTTCTTTGGAAGATTCCCACATATTTTTGTATCAAGATGGAGTAGTAGAAAGTCAAAAACTTCCTTTCCCAAAAATTAATCATTTCTGCCGGTACCTCCGCAACCGCCGCCATGCCTCTGCGGACTTTTTGTAAACCTTTCAAAAGTGTACACTACTGTAGTACATTTTTCGATCTATCTCGAAGGGTTCAGCCAGCGTTTGCAATGTAAGCGCAAAAAATGTGTTCATCTACGACATCACATTAGAAACCACTAAAATTATAAGCGATGCTATAATATATTATGCACTTTATATACATATAAACCTTCGTCAGGAATCACTCTATTCATTTAAAAAAATCGCATCAAAATCCGATGCGTAGTTTTGAAGATCTAAGCATACATAGGGACAGACAGCGGAAAGCGACTTTGTTTTATACTATGTAGTGATAGCGATATCGATGATACCTTACCTGCCATGTTGGACATGGTTCATTGAATTAGAGATAAACGAATTTCACTAAACACGCCTCTCAATGACTTATTGGGGTGAATATTGCCGAGGGGTAAATGATTTCATTCATTGGCCAAGGGCATATTTTTAAGGGGTTGAAAACCCGAAGCTGCATTTGAGTTAATGATTCATGGCTTCTGCCATTTTGAATCATTAATCAAATGGAAAAGGAAATTGAATTACGTAGTTTTCATGAGGATGAATAGATAAACTGAATGTTGGGGGTAAAACTAATTTTCAGTATAAACGAAATGAGATGAAGAAAAAATTAGCATTCGCATATTCCAGAAACACTTTATTGAGGAATTTTCACTAAATTTTTTTCTCTTCTGAAGTAACATCATATTCATGATTGAACTCATGTGATTCTGCTAAAAGGTGGTTGTTTGCAAATGTGAAATTGGTATTTTCATTCAAGAAACTACTTCTATTCTCTTTAATTCTCTGAGAAAAAGTTCTCCCCGTTTGGCCAATATGGCAATATGGGCAAGAGCCACAAGTCAACTTACATACTCCTCATCTTTCCGACACTGAAGTGTCGGATAAATTTACTTGAACCATTTTCCGTTCTGTGAGCCAAGTCCAAGTATTCCTTTTTTAAAACGCGGGCGATATAATTGGTGGCTTCACCAAAATATGCAATGTCCTATAGCTGATGATATCGTTTCTTGAATTTGGGTAGACCTGGTCCATGACTTGTTTCTGTAGTTTTTTGGAATGAATGGAGTCGATAATATTTACCTTGTGAACGTTGTTGACCGCGATATGATTGATGAAACTTGGCTCTCTCTGGAAATTTCTATATTCTGTGATCATATCAATTTCGATGTCTATGAACTTGAAATATCAAAAGATGGAATTCTGAATACTGAGTGTTTTTGTTTTAGTGTCATGTATTCCTGAAGTTAGAATCGACAAATTTATTTACGGTTTTTTACATTTTCTTCTTAGTAAAATCGCAACTGTCCTTCGTTATATTTGACCGATGCCCTATTTCCCATAACTATTATCAAAAAGCGATTCGCAAATTAATTTACTCCTCTTTCTTTTATATCTACTTCCACCTCGGCTGTTTAAAAGCTGTTATGGCATTTGAGAATGTTATAACGTAGTCATAGGCACGTTTTTCGGAGCTCTTACGTAGTTACCAAAAGTTTGTATCAACCACAGATCAAGTATATGTGATAGTCACGTGACTGCCAGTCCATACTATTACGTCATCAGGATTGGACTTCGACTCATAACACAATTTGGAATTACTCTTTTTGAAATATAATCACCAAAAGATTTTCAGCAACAAATTTTCAAATAGTGTAAACTTTCTCGACCTTAGCTGTGTCAAAGTTATTTTTCTGATCTGTTGACTGTGGTCTGCAGGTCTTTATACCTGATGTTTCGTCTACTACTACGAAAGATATTATCAAAGGAAATGATTCAACAGATGTGGTTATGCTAGTTGTAAGCGAAACGTCAGACGTGAAAACAACCTACAGACCACTGAAAACAAATCAATAATTATTCGAATATTCATTTCAATTCTTTCTGAAAAACTACTTTGTATTGATAAAACACCACACAATCTCGTCCAACAAACAAACAAATGAAATCAAACTCGTCACTAATCGGTGCATTGTAACCAGGTTTGGTTTTCCAACAGACGGGCGAAATGGAGGCGGCACCAACGCATGAACCTACTGAAGCGGTCATCTCCGGGCCCGCAGGGCAGCGGCCAGTCTTCGATGTTCGGCGGCCGCTTGACCCCCTCGCCACACTACAAGGGCGGCTCCACCCCTGGCTCGCCGCTTACTACGCATCTCACCTCCCACCCCGCGGCTTCGTCCCTTTTGTTGGGGATGGGCGGCGAAAATAGCGCCTTCAAGGCTCTGGTGCCTGGAGGGCTGATGAATTCCCAGGAGAGTCTCAGGCGGTGAGTTATTTACTTGTTTGTATATTTATTATGGATTATTTCATTGCATTACTGGCAAAGAAAAATTGGAAAGAAGGGTTTTGTGTTTGACTCGATTATTTTTTTACATTCTTGGGGATGATTTTTAGTTCGAGGTTCTTTGAAAGCAGGTTTTTTAGTTTTTTAAACTATATTTTTTCAATTTCACCATACTCAGTTGCATTCAGAATTTTATATTATTAAATGTGCAATACCTATACTCCGAAAGAATCCTCAAGTATTTCGAAAACTCCATGAAACATCAATTGGTTAGGCTATGATTTTCAAGTTACAGGTCGCTGTTAATTTTTAATTTCATTTTGAAATAACGATAATGATACATGAAGTTTTATAACAGGATAAAACTGAATGTTATCTTGGTTTGACTGTCGGTTTTATAGTGCACCATACCTTAACGTGTGTTTCTTTTTTAAAAAGTTATGAAATTCCTCAGGACGATTGTATCACGTTTGTATCAATATAATCAATAACTTTCTAATTTTTATGAAAAAATCGTCCCGTTGAAAAATTGATACAACGTGAAATCATTTGCAAAATTAAAGATTATTTTGAGAAAACTTCAATTCTTAATTCATTCATACCATTTGTGGGTAAAAATTTCTCTTCAAAGAAAATCTTTTGCATTGGGTGTAATATACAAGCCCCCTCAACAGGATGAAAAACTGTTTTTAGAAGAATTCGAAGATACTCTGAGTTATTTTCATCCAACTGTTGATGAANTCTCTAACAATCACGATTGATAATGTTCCTTTACAACCCACAAATGAATGCAAAAATCTTGGAGTTATAATCGACTCTGACTTGCGGTTTGAGAAACATATAAACAAACAAATACAACTGGCATATTCTTCGTTGAAACTTGTTTATGGACACAGACACATACTCACGAAGCAGACGAAAACAACTCTCTGTGATGCACTGGTTTTATCGCGCTTCAACTACTCGGATACTTTATATGGGCCATGTTTAACCAAACAGTATGCTCAGAAAATACAGAAAGTACAAAACTCGTGTCTACGGCTCATTCACGGAATTAGGAAATATCAAAGAATATTCCATAAGTTACTGGATACGGGGTGGATCACAATGGAAAATAGACGGATATTGAATGCTGCTAATTTATGAAACAAAATTATACAAACCAAAACGCCGCCTTATCTGTACAGAAAAATCACTTTTCGTACTGATGTTCACAATCTGAACATTAGATTTAAGGGTACCCCACCCAGTTTTAAAACTGAATTTTTCAAGCGATCCTTTAGCTATAATATTATAAGTGATCTACCTGTTACCAAAAGAAATTCAGAAAAATTCAGAACTTTCTGTTTTACGGAAAAGATTCAAACTCCTTCTATTCGAAAGCCAACTTTATGTATAAACTGCCCAACCCTATAATGGACGTCTTCTCCAGCATCTTAATAGATATTTGAACAATCCCAATTTTTTTTATGTTTCACTTTCTCTTTGTCTTAGCTTAGGTAGAATCTTTTTGAGGTTGAGTGGAAGAACAACTCAGTAGCACTTGTGCTAACTGAGTTGAACTTCACCTTTTGTTACATCAGCAACTAGCTCTGTAATTTATTTGAATATTTGTATGTAACTACAGCTGAGAAACAATGAAGACGATTATTATTATTATAAACTACGCCTCACGATTTGATCTCCACAAACTTCATTTGAGAAATATATCACGACATGTTTCGCTAACACAGTAGCTTTATCAATAGTGATTCAAATCACATGTGAAATATTTTTCAAATAAAGTTTGTGGAGATCAAATCGTCAGGTGTAGTTTATGAAATTACTATGGATCTTCATCAAGTAATTGCCGAATCAATCAGAAGACAAAATTAATTTATTCAAATATGTCACATTGAAAGTGAACCAGTGAACCTTTTCCAATTGGGAAAAATCGATCTATAATGCTGTCTCGTCAGACTTGTAAAAATGCACTTCAAACAAAGTACTTGTGATGCCCTGTTTGGAACCTTTGGTATAGTAATGAATATTACTGGCGTTGATTTAATACCTCGACAAGTATATCGATCACCAAGTGATCAACTTCAAGAGGAAGATCTTCCTCGTGATATTTTAACAATGTGTTTCATTACTTTCAGCTGATCCCGATATTTTTTTTCAGATTGAGCGATTACGTGACAGATTCCGAAGAAGAAATAAACGTCAATGACGAATCAGATATCGAGGATCATATAGAAAGGAGATCGCGTTCCTACAGTCCAGTAGAAGTTGTCGAGGTATCTTCCAAGGACACCACGACGTGCCAGCCGCTGCAGCTCACAATGCATGATCGGGATTAACGTGACATGTAACGTATACTGTAACAAATTATTTCAGGATATTTGTGAAACCAGTTAGTCCTCGAAACATGAAATTAACGAAACTCAACGTGGCTTATGTGGTGAGGATTTTGCTAAATGATCCAAAAACTGTTTTATGTGCTCTCATGGCAATTTTCATAGTGCGAACATGAGAAGTTCCTTCTGTTAACTTTTGAACGAGACTAGATATCAATGTCAGCCAGAATTATGAAGAAAAACTCATTTTCATCAATTACTTTTTTGTGTGACTTCTTCCGTTACCATTTTTCAGACAGTAAGGGGGTCTTATAATACCTGGGTTGACAGGTCATTCGATCTTTCAATTCTTTATCCAACATCATTTTCCCAAAATTAGTTCATCCGATCCTGAGTTGTGAGTAGTTTTACATTCTTCATAATAATCTACAGAAAATGATAAATATCATTATTTCAAAACTCATTACAATCTATTTCATTCAAAATTTTCACCATTCACTTTTCGATATCATTAAAATCTGTTTACAAATTCATAACATATATTTTGGAATTCCATAAGTTATACATTCGAATTGTTCATTCATGGAATAGGAATGTATCTGTGAATGATTCAATATAAGGTATGGTGTAGTAATGAATATTACTGGAGTTTTATCCCAACACCAAACCTTTATTTTTAACACTTCGATACGTGGTGTTCACTTTTAGTCCAAGCAATCGTTATGAATTTGTAACATATATCTTTCATAGAAACGCTCCGCAATATGATATATCGAAGAATATATATCGATATTGAATTTCACTGACAAGGAACAGTGTCATCTTCGATGGTGAACTTCGAAGTTTCGGATACCTCTCTCATCAACACATCAACACCGTTTTGTATAACAACATATGGTGAAGCACTAATTTTTTTTATAACATTATGACTTTATATTTTGGGAAAAGTGAAAATTAATTTTATGTAACGAGTATGATTATTTTGAACTTTCTTCCTTCCTTTGGTAGAGTCTCATATGTTTTATAAAGAGATAAAGAACTAGAAAGCCAAAAAGTATACCTGATAAAAAATCTGCCTTTCAATTCAAACAAGATCCTATGGCTGGGATTAAATCAAATAACGAAATGAATATGTTCACGTACTGTCGGTCATCATGACATGAGTAGATATGTCACTTCTGGTGACAGAATTGTAATTCCAGGCTTTTTTGACAATTGATAGATGATACGAAATATGGAATCATCTTCATATCCGCGTATAGGTTCTGATTTTTGAGAGTATGATTATGGTAATCCATTCCCACACTACCGTGACCTCTCAAGTCTTTCAACCAATTATATTATTGGATGGAATTGACAGNTTAGTTTGAATCGAAATAATCCAAAATTACACCTGTATTGGTTAATCCTCAAGATTTTGAGGGTTCCTGGTGTAAAGTGAATAGTTTTGGAAAGTAAGTTTTAAGAAGAAAAGTATGTGCGAGGAGTTCAGAACATGAAGATGGGTGATTTGAAAGATATAAGATCTTTAATCCCTTCAAAGTAAGTACCCACCATCTTGTTTTTTCATGAACCTCACCCGAAAGTGAAAAAAAGTTTCGTTCTTTTGATTATTGAATCATATATGAATATATAATCTAGTTCGTACTATGTTCAAACGTTTCCATAGAATATCAAGAAATTTCGCTTATATCTATACCTAGTAGCATCCAGAAATACCTGAGGTATCAATGGAAAAAAAATGTTTATTAATGAATCAAGTACAATAAAAACAGACACCTATATCGTCTATGTAGTTTTCAGTGGATAAATTACCATCATAAATAATTCTTTCACAGCGATAAAGTGAAATTACTGGCGTTGATAGATTTTCACTCTCTTTCTTTGGATGGCGTTGGATTCCCTTTGACGAATCCTTTTTGGAAATGCTCAGAAAACTCACAATTGAATTAATTTCATATTCAAGATCTTTTCAAATTGAGTCGATTTTCGAAACATCGTCCAAAGGAAGGGCGTGAAAACCCATAAATGAATAAGGAATAACATTCAGATAATATTAAAAGCGATATACTTCAAAATTGTCGCTAATTCAGTTCCAACTTAACTAAAATAAAAAAAAATGCATTGAAAGATAAAACTCAGAATATACTGATAAAGATAATGAATATCGAGACTGAAAGTGGTTCCAGATCAGACCCTCGAATGGTAGCATCAAAATAATATATCTAGTCCATTTTCATTGCAAACAACATATTTCCTATCAATATGATCCGAAACAAGCACTTTTCCCAACCACTAGAAATGCAATAATACTTTTCTTGACGCGCGTTTCACAATACAAGTTGGCGTCTTCAGGAGATGTTTGCTTCCTGTGATTCAACGCCTCAAATTCGCATAAAACACGATGAGCTTCTTTGTCAGGTGAATGTTTTCTGTGTGTGTTCACAGATACATCTACCGAGTACTCTTTATGGTTTCTAGTGAACCATTTCCAGATCCAGTTCAAATTTTATCCCTGCACTATATTATATTGTATAGCCAAATACCTCATACCCATCATGCATCAAGCATTACTAGTTCGTACATTGAAAGGTTTACTGAAAATGCAGACTCTCATGAAGGTCTTGTATACTATTCTTTTCCTGGAACTTGTGTCAGTCTCTTCACTCAATATTTTATTAGCAAATTTTACTTGAATCGAAAGGGATCTATTTTTAGGAGAGATTAGTTTTTGAGAAAAAACTCTTTGGATTTCATTTCTCCGTCTTTATATTAAAAATCAAGTTTCAACAAAGATGTGTAGATCATGCATAGAAGTTACTTTTAAACACAAACCTAATCACTTACTTCCTTTCTTTGGTAGTCTGTCACAATATTTTGTATTTAGATAGAGAAGTGAAACACTTACCTACACAGTAGGATCATTGACTCACACCTATCAGAAAACGACTACTGTTACGCACTACTCAATTAATATTAGGTACCCTTAGTCACCTGTCCAATAGCTGAGGTGCGTGAACTCGTACACAAGCTCAAGTGTCGGTTGGGGTGGGTCCATAACATTAATTTTATTTGATTTTACTAAGTTTATTTTAATGGGCCCCCTTAATTATCGATGAGCCAGTCTTAACTAGTAGACTGCCCAGAATGGCTGGGTATGAACGGACAAATCGGAACGATATAAAGATGATTAACAATCATATTACAAAAATAGACAGATAATGCATATCGGTACAAATTACTAAATAATCAAGTCACAAAAAGAAAGGAGTGCCCCAAAACATCTAATATGTATTTACTCACAACAAAAAAAAGGCAAAACAAACTCAGCTAACGCGCCGCAGTGACGTCACTCGCCCTCACGTTACCTTAGGAACAAAACACATAATATTTTTTTAAGAAGAATGTCATTGAAATTCTCTTCAAAATCCCTATTTCTTTCATTTCAAGTGTAATCTTATATCTTTATTTTTTATCATATTTTATTTGTATTGTCCTTGCTTAAATTAACGAGCCAGAGGGCTTAAATAAAATAGTATTGACTAATAATGCAATAAACCAGGAAGGCCATTTCAAAACTTGCAATTTGAATAAATCAGCATTCCTAACAACTACAAGTTCTACGGTTTTCTCCGGATTTTTCAGACGGGAAATCGAGTTGAAAGCTACCGATTTCACTTGCCCAAGACAGCAATATTGCATCCAAAATAAGTAACAAAGGAAAAGGCACAATTGCTTATACAGTATTGTATCCGCCCTGTAGTGAATACTATTGGCGAAAAGCTCTTCCTAATATCGCTTTGAAATGCTTCTCTCCACATATATTAGACTCTTCCACAACCAGGAACAAAAACAACGATTAAAACCAATTCTTTCTTAACGTTGAAGCACTCAACCAACTATAATCTAAGATTAAACGACTTACCTGTAAGGAAGTTCAATCTTGATTATATGAAGAACCCCTACATCATAGACCACCTTGTAGTTTCGCCTCTGAGGCGGAAACCGACCACTAGTTTTTACCCGAATGAAAGAAATATTCCATATCAATATACTCAGCCCATTGATTCATTATGATTTTTGGTGCACCTATTTCAGATCGCGTAAGGGTAAGCTAAAAATGAGGGAGGGTTGGGTTGGTCTATGATGTAGGGGTTCTTCATATAATCAAGATTGAACTTCCTTACAGGTAAGTCGTTTAATCTTAGATTATATTTCAGAACCACTCCATCATATACCACCTTGTAGATGTTTAAAGCATATCAGCGATCTGAATAATACTCTGTAATCAATCATTATGATTTAATAATTCGTAATTTGAGTTCATAAACTTATCACAAAAAAAATGTATATAATATCGGTAGTAATGAATATATAGTTCATAAAATACATTAACAATAAACATTACAACAATAACAATTTATATAGATTAAATTCCCACAAATTTTTAAAATTAGAAATGATAGTTTCAGCAAAATTTTTACTATTAAACAACGGTTTATTATAGAATCTGGCAAACATGCAAGATTTTTCAGACCACCCTGCCGCATTTCTGATTACATCAATATTTGCTACAATACGTTTTGCTGCCGATGTGGAAGCATGCCGCGTGGAATGCGATGAAAATTTTTGAGTATCAATACCGCTTTTAGTCAAGGTTGTTTTGATCCATCGTGAAATACTTTGACTTGAAGCAACATGGTATGGTCTTCTAAGTGTTATGAATAATTTGTTGACAATACCTCGTAATTTTTGTGTTCTTGATAGGTATTCATTCAGACATTTTGCAACGCAAATCTCTGGCTTTTCATAGAAATATGGTAAAATTATCACCGGCTGTTGCCTGCCGGGCGCAGAAGTTTTAATAATTTCTGAAATATTAATTTGTATATTTGAAGACATATCCCTTATGTCAGATATTTTTATGCTAGCAATAGTCTGTACCCTCTGAGCAGACGCCAATGCCAAGAGAGTTGCTAACTTGTACGTTATTTCATCCAATGATAAGATATGATATGGATAAAGTGTTTCCAAATATTCAAGAACCTGGGAAGGGTCCCAAGTCGTGGAATATTTTGGAAAAACCGGTCTCAATTTGAAAACTCCTTTGAGAAAACGTTTTATTACATCTTCATTATTAAGCGATACGATTATTAATTTTAATGCTGATCTGTGGGAATTTAATGTATTATAATTTGCTCCACATTCAAATTTCTCTTGCAGGAATTGAATTATATCTGATATTCTAGGCTCGAAAACATTCACTTCATGCAGGTTACAAAATACCCACCACTGCTTCAACGAGCTATTATATTGTTTTTTAGTATTAGGACTTAATGATTCAAGTAGGGTTGGAATACCACATTCAGGAATTCCGCTTCTTATATATGTTTCCCTGATAAGTGCGCAGCAACCAGGGTA